ACGAATATTTAATAAAATTAATTTCATAAGAATCCTCCGTATTGATAATATATTAAGTACTATTCTTGTAAAAAAGGAAAAAAGTGGATTCAGGGATTAGATATTTTAACTTGGACTTCACATGGCTTTTTAGTCTTTGTTCTAAAACAAACCTAAACAAATATAAAACAAATCATGGATAACATATACGGACAAAACAAACTAAAAAGTGAATTAATTTTGATGACAACTGTACTATGGAGTTATTTGACTTTTAACATGAATCTGTTTAGTTCACGATTTTTGTGTATTGTATTGAAGAAATAATTAAAAAAAAAACTGAAGAAATAATTTAATATTTATAGGTTAGAGGATAGTCATTGATTGGTATTACAATTCTATGCAATTTCATATTAGGAACTGGTTTCAAAGTTACAATTTTGTCCAACACGTACTCAAAATCCATTAGAAAAAAATTATAATTAATACTTTAAGGTCAACATATAAAATTAGGACAAAAAAGAAGTTGGAGTAGGACTAAGCTTTTTTGTTGCCGTGTCTTATTTTCCTCTACCATTGGTAAGTCTTCACACCAAAATATCGATGGCACTTGGATCATAAATAAATGTGTAACTGCAAAGAGAAGTACATATAAGGGTGAGAGAAATAGAAAATTGATATTTGTGTAGTTCAACTAAAGGGTCTAAGGACTAATTAAGATAAATATTAAGTGTACATTCAAATTATGATAAGACTATCCTTTTTCTTTTTCATGTGCATGGTGTACTGACCGACTTTATGTATTCCAAAAATAAATTATTATTCAAAATAAATAATGTTAATATCAGATAAAATTGCAATCACTATTAATTAAATTGGGATCGGAGTTCAGCTTTTAAGTGAGATGAAATGTTAATTTCATACTATAGAAATGATTGAAATGTATCTAGTATTGACGCTATTGTTCGTTAAGAAATTACTAAGTTACCAAACGAACAAAGATGACCCGAATTTAAAGGAGTATTAGATATACACATTAACATGTAGCATTTTATGTCTATAGCCAAAGTAATTATATTAATAGGATTCTTAAAGGTAATCATATAGGATAACTAATATGTAATATTATGTCCTAAAACTAATAGGATTATAAGGCTAATATCTAGAATTCCGGTTATGTCCTTTTATTATGAGTTATTATGTTTAATATTATAAGGTTATTTTTGTAAACCGACATTTGTATTCATGCTTTTATAATAATATAGAAGATAGATAGATATAGATAGATAGATAGATAGATAGATATAGATAGATAGATTTCGTAACTTTCTTATTTGAAACATATATATTCTTTCAACTTCGTTTCTTTCTCAAATTAGCAAAAGGAAAACGTAGTAGAGATATTTGAAGGATCTGCTTCCTTTCCTCAAGCAAATATTGTCTATAATTCATACATCTGATATTAAACCACACTTTGTAACATATGCATAGAGCACCATTTGATTGCTTAAAAAGTAAAGGAGATGAACTAAAACTCCACTAAAACCCGCTTAAACTTGAGTTCGAAAATTTGGGTTTTCGAAATTGGAATTTGTTTCTAATGGGTGTTGGTAGAATAGATTGGGTACATTTTATTGGAGTTTGAATCTCGATTTTGAGACGATTTGGTGAAAATTTGAGGTAGTTTGAATTTAAAATTCGAAGTAGACGATGAACATAAGAAGATGAGTTGTGTTTCTCCATGTGTATTTCCCATGTATCTCCTGTGTATTCCATATGTATCCGTTGTATATCTGCGTATACTTGTGTGTGAGATACATGTGCCGCAAAGGAATTTTTCACCTCGATTTCAACCACAAACTTTAACTCCAGACCAGTTCAAATCACATCCATTATTCTTCAAATTTTATATATTGCTTCGTCTATGTGTTTTCAACCAACTTCAGCTATACCCATTGAGAAAAATCATTTATTTCCTAAAGATTTTCAATGTTGTATATCATTAGTAGCTTTTTGTTGGCTAAAATTAAATGGTTAAATGATAAACTTTTTATATTTTAGTACATCCCTGTAGTTATAAACTTTTCTCCCTATAAGTTATGTAGAGATTCTCTTATAGCAAATTTTATTATACTAGTTATTAGATTGTTATCCAGTACATAGTGATCATGAAGGTAAAGTACTTACTTCGGCAGTTCTCATTCAAAAAAGTGAGTTCTAGAAATACCAAATGCGTTTGTTGATGAAGAACACAATTTATGGTTAAGCTATATTATCATTTTGGAATGCTCAAATTCTTTTTTCAACATTGTGTTCAGAATTCATATGTGTCATGACCCATTTTCTGAACAAGCCGGGACCGGCACTCGATCACTAAACATGACCGAGCGAACCATCTCTGCTTATCAAATCTATTATGACTCCAAACTTTATATGCAACAAGGCAATATTCTAACCAAATACTTTTGTTTAATTCAAACATTTAAATAAATCAACTCCAAAACTTTATTCGTAGTAACTACTGAATTACTGCCAATTAAGTTATTATCAAAAACATCTGAATCTTAACCCAACGACTATGTCTATGAAGCCTCTACTGATAAACTGACGCACTTCTCAGGACATGAGATTTCCTGGACAGTTCTCTAAGTAAACAAGGAAATAACTAAATAAAGATGACTCTAAGGAATACTCCACGAACAAAAGCGGAGCTCACCAATAGCACTGGAAGAGAAGGAAGTCCTAACTCGTAGCCTGCATGCCTGCAAATCTGGTTCCTACGTTGTACCGCAGACCAACGTAGGTTCCCAAAAGAGAACGTCAGTACCATCCATTGTACTCAGTGAGTCTCAACAACAGGGGGGAAACTTTAATAACATATATATTATGAGCAATGGTTCTAAATGCATGTAAAACATAAAGCTTATAAGAATAATTCTAAATAATTGCATAATAGCAGTTTATGAATATTCTAAAAGAAATTCTTTTCTTTTTCTTTCTTAAAAAAAAATACTTCACTTTATACTTTGGGAGTTCCAACTATCCTGACTTAATTCTGTCTTAGTCACCGTGTGATCGGCATGGGTTCGATCCCAACCTGATCGAATAGGTCCAATCCACGAGGTGCCACTCGCTTCATGGTTCTCAGCGCTCATGTCTCATACCTTAGCATGGCTAAGTAAATTTTCAGCAATGAGACCCTCGGCTCGTGTGCTCCCTACTTTG